CAATGGTTTGTATACTTCACTATGAATATTATAACTAAAAAATATTATATATGTTTAATAACTGCCAGCACATAGAACTATACTGAGCATTTTTTTAGGTAAAGCAGATCATGATAAGAATTTCACTATAGCTAACCAGGGTATGTATAATAAACCATATAAGATTTAAATACAAAAACCTACATAGAAATATGAATTATTCTATAAATCTATTACATAAAATGAGAGTTAAATTTAAATATTTGTATTTATGTTTTTACTTATAAATAATAAAGGAGGTACCTATTAATAAATTGTACTATGTGTAATGAAAGTATAACTCATACATAAGTAAACTATTGTTGTTATCTAATACATCCAATTGATTATGAATAATAGTTTGTAAAAATATATTTAAATATTATTTTTTGTAAAATAGATTTTTGAATATTTACATGAGATAGGTGTTTGAATTCTATTAATGTTATCCACAATTAGCGCTTGAGAGTCATGCAATATATTAAATATTGGATTTATTATTTCATTGACACTGTCAATTACTCCGATTAAAGTGAATGTCCAAATCTCCAGTTCATCCTTCTTTCCTCCAGTGTCGTATAACTACTAAAAAAATTAAGTAAAACTCAAAATTCTAGGTATGGATAATTCAAAAAACACAAATGGCAGCAAAGAATTAAAAACATTGAAAGACCTTACGAACGGTTTGTAATAAAATTTTAAAATATTATAAAAAGTAGGTATAATGTAAATATGTAATAATAAATAAATTCAAATACGAGATGATAAAAATCTATTGTAATTTTTTTAAACGTCCTTTAACAAATGGAAAAAATACCTGGACCCAACAGTTTCCATAGCAGACAGTTTTTAATATATATTTTAAATTATAAGATCATATCAAGATTACCAGAATTGGTGCCAGCTTGGATTGAACAATAATTATTACTCACGACCGATCCGTGTATACGAATTCGATCTAAGAGGACAAAGTCACTGAGACTGACCAATAAGTGTTAGTGTTCATCAGTAGGGAGAGGGTGTATAATATGTGTATCAATGTGTACTTATAAATTATAATTATGAAAAGATATCTAGTCATCAAGAATATTGTGTTGGAATATGTAACTTTGTAGAATGTTTAGCTTAAAAAAACAAAACATAAGTATATGTGTTTACACATATATTATTAAAATTGTAGTTTAATTTAAGTACCACACATTAATTAAATTATATTAGTTTCAAAAAAAATATATAAAAGTTTTATTATGTGAAGGTAGATATTCCGATAATCGCTGGTAATCATGATATAATAGACAAATTACAATTTATCACAATAACGTTAATAAATATTTATTAAAATATTTCTTAATACAAATAATTTAGAAGAAATTATTTTTAACATGTGGTATTTAAACATTTTATTTTATTCATTTATTTACTACGGAGAAAAATTCTATTGAAAATAAAATTATAAGCTACGAATAATATTAATATAAACTACCTGTTAAAAATATTTGTTTTTTAAATTCTTTGATTAAATCATTTATAGACGACTAAACGAGAAACGATAATAAACTATTATTTTCAATATTCAACAAAATTATAATTATTGTTTATACTATTTTAATTTACAAATGTCTAAAACAAACACACTGGTTATAAATAATTGTGACTTCAAAAATGTGTGTCATATTTAATTTTTTCCAGAATATGCAAACGATTACAAGACATTTAAAGAGGAGAGTAAGAATATTTTTTAAATTTTAAACTAAACTGAGATCAGGTTAAAATATGAATATTTTATTTTTATGTTTAAGTGTTGACTTTAATGTTATTAACATCTAAATATTTTCCAATTGTCTCAAATATAATATTTTCAGGTATCTATGTGAAATTAATTTTTGGCAAAGTAAAATTTTGACATAATCTACTGCCATTTATACTGTAAAAATCGAACGATTGGTATATCAAAGGTTTAATTTTTTCCTTATAAAGAAGTTTGACCTGTAATTTTTAACTGAATTTTTTATTTTTTTTCATTTAGTTTTCCATAAACTTTGGCCATTCAATGTTCCATAGATTAATGCAGTACTCATTAATAATTTTGTATATATATTAACTAATGATGAAAAAAAAAATGTTTTACTAACAGTGATAACTTCTACATTTCAAATGTCTTCGTCAGTCTCCTCATTGTATTATCTATATTACTCTATAAACGTTGTAACCATTTTGTTAGGTTAGGTAGCTGTTTTCAGTTTCAATTAATTACGAAAAAAACCATAAATAATTTACGTGTTTATATTCTCTATATCAATTATTATAAGCATAATTATTATTGTTTTTTTTTTTTTTTTTTTTTTTTTTTGTCCAGAGCAAATGTCAGACACTTATTCAAGCAATTATATGTGGCTCTATGCATATGAAGAATATATAAATCGTTTAAAATGATAACCAAAACTTGGAAACTAAGATTATTCATTAATTAATATTTTAATTAATTTTTAATATATATATAATAACTTAATCTTGATTTTTTTTTTCTCACAAAGATTTAGTAGATTATTTTACAAGCTACTGAATTAAATCATTGTGAATAAAGGCAATACACGGTTGTTTTCGACATAAATTTAATTTTCGTGTCTGAAATTTGAACTTTCAGATGTTTAATACAGTTACATGCTTCATAAATAATTGTGACTTTTAAAAGATGCAAATGTCTTTTTTTAACTGTACTGTATCTAAGGATAATAATATTTTTAAAACGGATACAATTTTATTTTTCTGGCCAATTACGCCTTACCAATGTTGGGTAACGCAATTTACAGTTAGTTTAACTTAACGAATAATTTAACGACACTTATGTAATCAAGTAAGTTTTTAAATGTTTTTGTTTTAAAGTAAATAATAACCTTGGGCCCACAATATTTTAAGACCAACGAAAAGTCCTCAATAACCGCCTCCATCTACTTCGACCCACACTCAAATCCAAATTATTAATTCTCACAAAATTCATACTGTATAAATCTCTACTGAGAACCTAACTGAGTGAGATCCTAGTAGAACACCTCCTGAAAGAATATTGAAAGGATCAGAGTAAAAATTTTTTAATTTGACAATTTGCTTTCTGTTAAGTATGTGGTCAACCAAGACAAAAAAGGGTAACGAATACCGATAGAATATAGCTTATTTATAAGAATATGGTGACTTATTTTGTCAAAGGCCTTTGCAAAATCTGTAAAAATTGCATCTGCTTGAAAACCGGATGCAAATGCATCTAATACATATTTTTGAAAAAATAAAAAATTTCTCATTGTTGATTAGAAAATATTTTATAGTTTAAATATTGATAAATCTCGTCAAAATCGTAAAAGTTTACAAATTATTTTGTAATTAAAACTTCTAACATTTTATAATACAAGGATTTTCATTAATAACTCTTACTGAAACTTTAAATTCTTAAAAATATATCACATTTTTGGTTTTTATATACATTAAAAAAGCAAATTTGAACGAAATTTGATATTTCAACGGAGATTAACGATTTTAATTATAGTATTTTAATTCAAAAATATATATTATTCGTAGAAACTTTAAGCTTTTAGGTAAACATTTAGATATTGTATTTAAACAGCTGATTGCACACTAGCCAAACCGCGCTTAGACACTTATGTAATAATTATTTATAACATGAAGATAATCGAATGTAATACAAAATAACTAGAATATAAAAAATTGAGTAAGAAACGAATTTAACACAACAAATCGTTTAGTTTAATTCTAATTTATAATAACAATCATCAAAAGAATATTGAAATTAAAATAAATATATTCAAACGTCTTTTATATAAGGACAACAAAAAACAAAAATCTTTTAAAATTAAAACCAAATACATTTTCGAGTACTGATAATGCGGATAAATTTATAAAACTATATACTCGTAATATAGTAGCTTCATTAATAAGCGGATGGTGGACATTGGACAAGGATAAAACCCACTTCATTGCTGTATTCTCAGAAAAGGTGTCACTATTTTTAATTTTTTATAATATTCAAGAAAATATCACAGAAAGTAAATGGGTAAATTTTTAACAAAGTTTACGCCAAAAATTAAATAAAAATACCTATACAGAGAGATAAATGAACAAATTAAAAAAAAAAATCAAATAAATAGGTTTATTGGTTTGACTTCATAACTAATATTTGTTATACATTTTTACCTCGATAAACATAAAATAAATGGAGTATTCAATAAAAACATAACATACAGTATTACCTATGTTAAAACAAAAAACACAATTTTTACCATATCTGCATAATATGTGCTCATGTATTGATGTATCTGTATTTTAAAATAATCTTAGAACCAATTTAGATACACCGATATGTAAATGACATATTGACTGGAATAGACTTTGTCCAGAAGTTAACAATAAAAATATCCACATGTAGTAATTTATTAATGAATTTTTATAATTTTTCGAAAAATTAAAAGTTGATTTTACCTAATGATTCGTACAAAATGTATGTTATACCCATGAATTAATGGTTTATATATCTAACATAGTACCTACCTAATTAAAAACCGATACATGTATTAAAAGTACAAATTACAAATTTCGGTCAACTAGCTATTGAAAATACAATGTTGACTGTGCTCAAATATTTAATTGAATGTGAATATCTAAATATTCTAAATAAAACATTTCTATATAATATTCGATTTGCTAACAGAAACCACTCATTAACGATACTAGAACCAGTAGAACCGGATGTTATATTCATTAGTCAAATGAAATAACTCATTTCATTGATGATTTTATCGAATCTGGAGCGCAGACGGCAAAATGTTTCCGATATCGTTTTGCCAATTTTTTCTGTGACTGTCCACAGAGATAACATGTACCTGTATAATAAATTAATATAAAATATAGATAACGTTATCAAATGGTAAACCTCGATAAAGTGATAAACGTGATAACTAACGCAGCATATCTTATTATCTTAACGTGTTTACATGTATCGTGTGTAGATTTCATTTGTGGAGTGTTCGAACGGTTAATTTTTTTTTTTTGTGAATACCGAATAATGATACCTAATTAACGTCTCTCCGAAAATGAAACGCTAACATATGTTCAAAATGCTCACTGTAAAGGACGCGATCGATTTAGAGTTGTGCGCCGACGAACCGTTCGCTAATGTGTTAGTTGTTGTGCCGTAGCAACGAAAATGATTTTAATACGAAGAGCGGTCTTCATCGTAAACACTTTGCTGCTGTGCGTCTTGTCGATTTTCAACATTTATTGTAAGCTCTTCGGCGTCTAGCTGTCTAAATAAAATAAATATCGACAGTAACAATCGTTTAATGGCATAGTGATGTACCTTTTTATACCTTTTTTTTCTTTTTTTTCAGTCACGAATGGAGACATGACCATTGTCGATGTCAAAGAATTTGAATATGGAGGTGATATATTTTTTGAGATATCGCATCCACCGGAACTACAGTACACATATCGCATAAGGCCGGCCAAAAGCTTTGGTATCCCTTTTGTAAGTTATTACTGATTACATTTTACTATTAAGCCAGATTTTGGGTTGAAATGAATAAAATTAGCATGATATTGTATGCATTTTTTTGTTTATTAAGGACAAAGAAAAGTTTCCAACTAAAAAAACAAAATTGGTTCTTGTCGATCCTCAGCATGGTTGCGAAACGCCTAAAAATGCAAAGCAACTTCAAGGAAATGTTGCATTTGTGAAAAGAGGGTAATTATATTTATTTTGTTGTAGATTAATGACACTGAATGAATGATTTTAAAAAAAATTGTTTAAACAGTGTTTGTAGTTTCTTAAAGAAAACCGTGATATCAGAAATATCTGGAGCAAAAGCTATCGTTATTACAGATAACAACATTTATGACGATACGGCGTACATACACATGATTGATGATGAAAGTGATTTGACTGCCAACATTCCAGCTGGTTTCCTTGTTGGAAAGTCTGGGTAAGTTATTTCCTTGAAAAAAAAAATAATATACCTATAAGTTGCATTTTAAAGTTATAAACTGTATTATCATTATTACAATTTATTGAAGTATTTATTTCAACTTAATAATAATAATAATTTTATAATACATGAATTACACTGTTTTCTAGGCATTTAATACACTCTAAAATGACTGAACTCATGATGACAGAACTACCTATTGTTTTTCCAATAAACATGACCTATGTACCGATACATGAAATCAATCAACCACCATGGATATCAATTTGAATTGTATGCATTCAATTCAAATCTAGACTGAAAATCCCTCCATGTATTATATTATGATATTTATGTTTAATTGACTAAACAAATATCTCATGTGTCAGAAAATAATTGCAGAAAACTGTGGACCTAATTTAAAAAAAATTTTAACTATCATTAACTATAAATATGCTGTTTATGTAAATGTATAACATTATTCGGTTATTTTATTACAGGGTTATATTAAACAGGGAGTTATTTACAATATAAATATGTAATTTTTAAATATTTTATTTTAGTAAACTGTTCATTTTTTGGTTTTTTTTAATCAATGATAGTAAATCAAGTGGTCAACAAAGATTTTAATGATGCTAAAATAAATTATGTTTACAATATGATAAATATAATTAATTATAATACATCACATCATAAAATTACTAATTAGATTTTAATATTAAATAGTATGTTTTATCGTGTTTTAATAAATATATTTAATTAATATTTACTTAGTTTCAATCACAGTAGATATTAACAACATACAATTATTATCCTATTATCTACCCTGATTTTAATTAATTTTATCAACCAATTGGCAACTCAGTGTAATAATTTAAAAAGACCTAATATAATACCAGAGTTCGATTATATGTCTTTAAATTAATTGCAAATCATTATATCGCCTTTCTTTTCCTGACAGCGACTTCTCTATTGATGCTGTAGTGAATGTTCTGAATATGTAGTAAGGTGACCAATATATATTAAATAATTACAAGACTTCCTTAACTCAAGTACATTTATTAACTTTATTAGAACTTTTCAATATATATTTAATTTTAACTATAAATAATTTTAACACTTACGTTTTCTTGTATATCCAATCTGCGTAGTCTTTTACATCTGCTTGTGATCGTCTATACAAAAAGACGGTAAGAACACTGTTCTTTGACCAGTGGTCACCAGCCTTTTTATAATTAATGTCCTGTATGTACATGTGCTTTCTATTGCTCCAATAGTTTTATCTTATTTAGTTACTAACGACTTATAACTATCGGTTATCATAACTATTTTAAATTATTTTATTATACTGTATTTCAATATTTAATTTTAATTATAAATGATTGCTTAGACGCACACAATTACATCAGAAAGAACATTTTTTCAACTTTTTTCTTATGTTTGTAACAAACAGGCATTTTATAAAGTGTTATGTTACAATATTTCTCAGAAATGAATTAGTCACAACACAATTATTGTCTGGCACCTAACCAATGATTATGTTAATTAATGTTTAATGTGTATTGTGTGCATTACATTTATTTTATTTTTAATGCTAATATTAAAATTTTTAATGGCATAAAAATGAATTATTACATCGATTGATATTCACTATATACATTGTACAAGTCATCACCATAAATAAGAATACCGTAATATGTATATCTTAATTCGTGACTATCAGTTAATATGAATTTTTGCAACTATTTATTGCCAAAATTTGCATAATTTATATTTCGGTACAAAAATATTTATCAAATTAGGTAACCGATTACGCAGCGACAGCAATAGAGATAACTATGCTCCGCCTTGAAAATATTTATAAATTAGATAATATATGATAAAAAAAAAAAAAAAAAAGAAACGTAGAAAGTGACGATTATTTCTCAAAATAGTGGACGTTTCCATATAAATCCATGTAAAAGAACCTCTACTCTTTAACCACAAATAACGATAAATTTAGTGAATCAATTAAATTCTAGTCTATGTCAAAATATGAATACTACTACTGAAAGATATTTCTTCCTAATATGAGTACGTATCGATTAAATAGAACAGACATTTTGAAGCAAAATATTCAAAATTGTTATTAAAAAATTTTTGGCAATGTTATGGTCTGTTTCCAATTTCCATAATACATTAATGCACGAGTAATCTATATTATGGATTCACAAACCGACCACCAACCACATTCGTTAACTAAAATTGTAAATTATAATCTTAAAGTAATCAATTCGAAACCTAAATATTTTATAATTTTAGAAATGAGCCATTCTTAGGTAGGTACCTACTAATTAAGTCTATTTTCTGTAACTTTTTGTCGGTGTTAGTAGGTAAATACTGTAGTAATGATATGCTGATATAATAATATCATTGAATAGCTTAAATAAGTATAATAAATAAATAGGGAACGGGTCAAGTTATCGCACCCAGATAACGATTAATTCCAATATAATTCTTACATCATCGATAAGAGGGACGACTCGCGTTGTAAAAGTCACATAGAAATTGACCTGTATGTACCTATGGGTGACGCGATGGACAAAAGACTTGCGAATCTCTTATATACCGCCAAGTATTGGGGAAAGTCAATTAAGGGTCTCTACCGCCAAGGATAAGGCTAGTTTCGTAGGAACGCAGAGGCTTTTGATGAAGCCACCAGCCACTCTGGCTGACTTGACCATGTCATCTTTTTAGTTATCACGCGCACCAACCATTCGAGCAACACCTCTCAACACCGGATTCTGCGAGTGACAATTGAACTTGACTTTTCAAAGAGTTAAGTCAGTGTTGTTGTTTTTATTTGGATTCACATGTTCAGAGTTATTTTTTTTATTTTTGCCACAAATTGAGCATTTTCAAATGCTTAGTATACCTACAGACTTTACAGTGTAGTTATTTAATTATAATGTATGTTATTTAAACTACGATATAGCAACTAAAAATTACGCTATATTTTAAAACATGTGTGAAGGGCGTATTGCTGACATATTTCTGGACGCGTTAAATATTATTGTTGATCGGAATGTTCCTCTTTCAGGAACAACTTCTAATTTTCTAACCGACCATAGTTGCAGTTTTGCTGAACCAAATATTAAATAAAAGAACATTATGAAGATAAACATGGCAACAATTACCCATAAAACAGTGTTCCATTCTTCCTTAGTGTTCTGTAAAATATAAAAGTAGTATATGGTAATAGGTAATATACTATATACCTAATAATGAATAATTTAATTGCTCATCCTATATCAAGTTTAAAATAAAAGCATTTAATATGCATCATACTACTACCGTCTACCATGTACATAAATTATACCTTTATACATCAGATAATTCTTTTATCACGAATTACTAACTGTTTTAAAAATAAAACATTTTTAAAAATAATCATGTTTTATCACTATATATTTTTTACCTTTTTGAATAACAATACGTACATTTTTAATTTAATATTCTGAAGTTAAATAGTATTCAATGTATTTCAATGTATAAAATTTGAAATTTTTGAAAAATCAAGTATATTTTGAGTTATAATATTAAAAATTTAGTAGGTAGAGTGGGACGATAATATACCGTAAAATGTTTGTCTACTATTCCGCTCACATAAACTTTAAATAGGTAATTATAACCCATTATAATTGATTAATTGTTCGTGTCATACAAAATAAATCAACTTAAATATAACATAATATGCTTAAATTATTTTTTTTTTTTTCAATGACAATAACTTAAAGTTTTAAACATATAAAATACAAAATATTGAAATGTCATTAAGAAATATTTTTTTATCACTCCTAAAAAATTGTCCTTTTTTAATTTTCCTTCTCACAAAAACTATCCAAGTATAGACCATAGGTAACTATATTTTTGATTATATGAAAAAAAATTCTATCATTTTTCATACTTAGGATAGACAAAAGGAATTATCTAAAGGTTTAAACAGTTCTCAGAATTAAAATACTTAATTCGGATAATTATTAATGAAAGATTATCAAATGTACTTCAACCTGCAGAAAATATATTGAAGTTGAAAATCAAAACATTTTTTGTACTTTATAAATCGTATATAAAGTATAAATCCTTCTAAAAAACACTTACTTAAAATCAATACATTTATTACTCCACTCATAATACAAAATAATTATTAGGCATTTGTTAGTATCCGGTAATCTCGAAAACCACAAAAGCTATTAAATCATATTTTCATAATGCTAGATAGTAGATTCAGATGGAGCTCCAATGATTTTTCTGTTGGGATCTACATCTAATTATGTAATACATTTTAACTCATATGGGCGAACTTTATTAACTCATTACTTGCCAACTACTTAACTTATTATGATAAAAAATTTCAGAAATTAGGTTTTAGTTTAGAGAATAGCTGAGAGAGTATTGAACTTGTTCACAAAGCAAGGTATCCCAACGTCGATTTATTAGTGAATTGAGATATCTACATCATAAAATCCAAGATTTTATCTTTTAGGTACACCGACATAGCGCCATATTCTATATTTGTAGATATAGAAGGCCCACACCAACAAAAATGTTTTTTCAATTTTGGATTTAATGCCTGCAAAATAGTTAGCAAATATTGTTCATTATTTTTATTAACATACAATCATAAAATAATAAGATTATATTGTAATTATTATTTATGTTTATATTATTTCATCAGCTACTTAACATGTTTTCTTCAGAGGTACTTTGCTTACGTATAATAGCTTCAATTTTAAATCTTAATTAAGTGACTAATAGGTATCTAACCTGTAGTATTCAATTATTATTATCATGACATAAGAAGTCTATAGTTGACTCAGATTAAAAAACAAAATTAGATAAATAGGTAAACATTGATAATTAATATTTATAATTAGCACTTTAAATTTGTAATATTTTACATCCTTTTAATTGCGAATTCAAATTTAAACTATTGTAAGAAAATTAACTGTGAAGGTTAATCAATTATGATTATACAATAATAGTATTTATTTTATAATTAATGATTGTAAGTTAGGTAGTTAAAACAAAAATATTGAACTATGTTTGCTTATTATTTAAAAAACTAAAATTATTTTTCTGTTAATACAATTGTGTGTATTAATTTTTTTTAATTATAATAATAATAATAAAAAAATTAACAGTTAAAAGAAAAACACTTGGTTCTTTTTATATGTTTATGAAATTCCATAGTAATTTTTTTTTTTAATATGCGTACAACATAAGGCATAGGTACCTTGTATATACACAATATACGATTCAACATTATTTTATTAGTGACCCAATGTACGAATTTTTATTTTAACAATATATATTATAAAGGTATTTGTTTTCTAACTTGTTTAATAATTATGCTGTTGACGTAAGTCGATGGACAGGCAATCACGAATGCAATAAACGTTGACACACCAGACAGCAAACCTGCATAATTTGGAGCTAAATCGAGAAGTGTCGGAAAGAAGCCTCCGCTATAAGCAAAATCACCTAAAGCCAAGTTTACTGATATTGCGG